CATTTTTGGATACAACAGCATGTTGAAATAACAGTCTTCTATCTACACAGACATCATTTTTGGATACAACAGCATGTTGAAATAACAGTCTTCTACCTACAGAGACATCATTTTTGGATACAACAGCATGTTGAAATAACAGTCTTCTATCTACACAGACATCATTTTTGGATACAACAGCATGTTGAAATAACAGTCTTCTATCTACACAGACATCATTTTTATTCATGGACAACATACTAGTCACCTGAACTGCCATACTAAAGTAATATATATGCAGATTTACTTATGATATAAAGATAGTTCATTCATTTAACATATATTTTGTCATTTTGTTTATAAAATACAGATCATTTTTTACTATTAGATATGTATTCATAGGCCAACAGCATAAAAAATACATTACGTGGTTTTGTGTGAAGGTCTTTTTCTTTGTGGTGATCCATCCTGCTGTTGCGTTTCCTCTTCATCTTCTTCATCATCATCGTATATGTATGAAGGATTATCAAGCTCTCCATCAGAAACTGGGTAAACGAGTGGAGTAGCTCTTTTTGACACATAGATTTCACTATCAGAAGTGGCAAAGAGAGGTTCAGTAGACTGATCGTCATGGCAACTGGTAGATAGTGTGTTCATTTTCTAATTAAAAATTAGAAAAAAAAACAGAAGTAAGATATAACAATGTAGTTAAATGAGAAACTATACTATCTCAAAAAGAACATTTTTGTGTCAAAGCTCTGTGGTTAATAAGTAGTTCATAACCTTCTGTTTTTCTCTATTACACACATGAATACTATTGACCTACAAGAGAGACATCATGTCGATGAAGGATTGAAACTCCCTAAACAAACATTACACAAATCTAACTGAATCCAACTGAACTTTTAGAATGTATTCTGACACACTAAATTTTAATCAAATTCATGGTTACTTTTAGCTAGACTGATAGCAAACATTTAATGTAATTGTTAATCCAGCCCTTCTACTGATTTTCCCATTGATCACTTAATTAAAAAATATAAACTTCAAGCAAGCAGTTGTTATTAATGACAGGTTTAGAAATAACACAATAAGACCATTAATATATTTCACAGTACAGGTTGGAGAATCTGTATTAAAACACATGCATGATAAGAAATCAATAAATCAAACAACTCAACAGACATGTTTATAATGACAGCCAGAATTTTCCATTTTCAGTGCATCCTATCTAGATAGAACTTATCTTAATTAAACAGAAGTCCTGCTAGTGTATATAGGTTAACAACTTAAAAATGTCACAGATAGTAAGACTGTTATTAATCCATGTCTAGTAATTTCTGACAAAGTTAAATAAGCAAGTTGTTCAGAAACCAAAAAACAGTTTTGAGTCTATAAAGAATAATGAATATTAACTTGCCCAAACTTTTTCTTTTATGAAAGCATTATTACCTTAAGTAACATTGGTTCTGTTTAATTTGTATTACGTATAGCATCCATAAATTTCTCAAGTGTGAATCAGTGCATTATCCTTCAAACCTTTATGTTTGGCACACAAATCCATCACGAGAGTGCAATTCAATTATTTGATTTTTTGCAATCAATTTACAAAAAATTAAACTGGCATTATACATTTAGTTAGAAGTTTTAGAAGTTAATTTATTGTATAATATTTAAAATATTATCTTCAATGTATTTGTAGTTCTTAAACTAAATGTTGGGTTTTATGTGTTACTAATTGAATGCAGACGACTTTAACTTTTAATACCTATTTACTGTCACCCCGACTTGCGAGTTATCTGTTACAGTGGCTTCTAGCTCTTAGGGCAATCAAGCAATCCTATGGTGTGACATCATATTATCTTGGCACAAAAACTACACAATAACTACAACAGTTATAAAAGATTCAAGTCAATTTTCAACCCTGCTGCTGAATATATGAATAGAAAGTGGGTTATAAATCATTTAACATTTAAACTTTAACCAAGTGCAGAATATTTAGAAATTTTCTGACCCATTTAACCACATTATGTGAAACTAATTGTATAGCCCACCAAAATAAAGTTATGCAAAAGATAAATAGAAATATATTAAAAAGGAAAACAAAACAATAAATCTTCAGACAAATATTTAGAACAACTATTTTTTCATCACTTCCTATTACATAATTGTCATGAGGCTTAACTGCGATATATTTAATTCATAAGTCGCACAAAAAGTGTACATGTTGTGGAACAGAGCAGTTTTCACAAAGGTATTCCTGGCCATGCAAAATTATCTAATAAAAACATCTATACTTATTATATTTCATTGCATTTCCTCGAGTAATGAAAATAATTATTATTTCTGAAAGACAGTCAATTTTGTATGTTAATTTATGGCTAAAAGTTACAGTGATGATTAATGTCCAATAAGATCATGTATGGTAAACAGCAGCTGATGTGATAATGTACTTAACTGTGTTAGGCAATCTACTGATTTTCTTATTAACCAGCTACTGAAGAAATACTTATTTATAATAAGAAATGTAGAAAACTTAATGTAAAAAAGCTGATTTACTGCAATATCTAAAGCTGTATGTACTCCACCAATACTACATGGAACAGTTTTTCTCAAACAGACAAGCCAGTCACCGAGTTATATAACCACTCTCCACTATTGTCTATTAGCAAGCACCATATGTCATTTTGTACTTACAGGTGAATGAATGAGAGAGATAAGCCTATGGAAATTGTGTACTGTTTGTTAGTTATGGTCATTTCTTATCTACAAATATTATTAATTTAGCTTAATTTCTTGACTAAATACTCTAGAAGATCATAAAATTACTAATAATTATGATTTAAGCAAGTAGTTGAAACAAGAATCCAAATATTCAACAGTTTAAGTAGTCTTCAAGAACATTTCTGTTCAAAAATAACATTAAACCATGCGACTCTACAATCTTTTGTTTTCAATGAGGAGAGTATCTGAGGATCACTTTTCTATTTCTTCTAACTCAAAAAAAAAGGACCCAACAAGGACAAAGAAATGGATGTTTAACATTCAGTGATAAAAACTCTTACTCTTCTGCAAGAGAATGCAAGTTACTATATTGTAGAGTATATTGCAATGCTTCCCAAACTTTTTCCTACATGACTCCATTACAGAACATAAAAATTAATGCAATCCCACACAGCACCTAAAACAACATATATGGCAATTTTTAAAACTTTTTAATTCAGAATAGTCCTAATTGCAACTGTCTTCTCCTGTGCTGGTTGAAGAGGGTCAAGTTGGATGCCAGATATCCTTATAAAAATGCCTCAAAAGGTCATAAGACAGGACCAACAAGCGAGATTGGGATGCCATACCCCCAACCCCTACTGTATCATGGGTTAGGTTTTTCTAACAAAAGGCTAGTGGCCAGAAGTGAGTTGGGTCCCACTGACCTGTATTTTTAACACCCAGTGTGTACCCTAAAAAAGCAACAGCATCAAAATTTTAACACTGCAACCAAGTCTGGTACCTCCAGGAGTTAATCATTTAAGTTACTGGTGAGGAGTAAAATCTGGTTTTTCCAGTCCCTGCAGATGATGATGTGGAAACCCAAACCCAGAAACTGGAAGGTCTTTCACTGATGCTCACAGTGAGGACAGGATAAGATTAATCCGAGAAGATAAGTTACAGTGGCAATATGGAACGTTCACAAGCTTTATGGTAAACTTACCAATGTGTTGAAGTAGATGGAACACAACAAGATCCATGTACTAAATTTTCCAGAAATGAGATCGACTGGATCTGGTTTCTTTAAAACCTCTACAGAGCAATTTGTAGCCTATTCGAGAGGAGATGACCATCAGAGAGGGGTCGGAATAATTTTCAACAAGCAGACAACCAGCTATGTGCTTAAGTATCATGCCACATAACAGTTATTCATACAATGTTTTTATATTAATATTTCAGTGAAGATTTATATTTATCACAAAAGATTTTAATATATCGTACTAAAGGCACGTCATTACATAAATAAAGGATTCAAACATGTGAATTATAGCCAAACATATGAAGAAGTTGAAGATTTCTAGGATAGCATCCAGCAAATTAAGAGATACTTGTGAGCACAATGGGGTATGTGGAATGTTTGGGCTGGGTGAAAGAAACAAAAGAAAAAAAGGAGAAAAGCTGTTAAATTTCTGTAATGACAATGACCTGGCATTCATGAACACAGTGTCCCAGTACTATAAATTCCAAAGATATACATAACACTAACCTGATCTACCAGTGTTCTGGATGCTCCTGTGTCAATCACAAACTTAATTTCCCACCCTTATACAATTCACAGGTGCATACCAAACTCCACCTAGCCCTCAGAGAGCTCAGCTGACTATCAAACCTTTCATTGCAAGCTGCCCCCTAAGTCAGTGGCCAGGCCCACTTGGGCTCTATTGTTTTTCTCAAGTTATAGCAGCAGTATTTAGTGCTTACTGTTGGTTCTCTTGGACCTGTTGAGCCATTAGCCAAAACTGAGAGCCTTGAATACTTTGCTGCTTGGCAAAGTACAGTGCTGTTGGGTCTCTGTTGAGACATCACTTGGAACCAATAGGCCACCTTTGCTTCACAGTAACCTAATGTACCACAAGCAAAGCAAACACTTTACTCCTCACATTTCAATTGGCATCCAGGCAGAAGGTCATTAGCATAAACTGCAGCATGGACAACAGCGTGGTTACATTGCAGCAACAGGAGGTGTGAGTGGGTGATTAGCCTTTGGCATCACTTCTGCTTTGTGTAGTTAGTGTACCCGAGTAGGGTGGCACATCCGAAGTTTAGCCACTGCAGCTGTTGCTACAGGTTTCTTCCTTTCCAGCAACCAGCTCAAAGTTACCACTTCATACCTGGTCATGATGGAAAGTGTCTCAGTTATGGTGAGGATATCCTCCACATTCAGGTGGTACCTCATCACCTTGCCAGAAAATCCTTTAAAAAACAATTAGTTTCAATTCCAACTCAACAACACCCATTAAAGATCCAAATACAATTTGTTTCAATTCCAATCAACAATATACCTTAAAGACCCAAATACAATTAGTTTCAATTCCAACTCAATAACATCCATTAAAGATCCAAATACAATTAGTTTCAATTCCAACTCAATAACATCCATTAAAGATCCAAATACAATTAGTTTCAATTCCAACTCAATAACATCCATTAAAGATCCAAATACAATTAGTTTCAATTCCAATAAAACATCCAGTGAAGACCCAAATACAATAATTTTTAATTCCAACCCAATGCATATACTAGGTTGTGTTGCTAATGTTATATTATATATGACCAATTCACTTTTTTACTGAAAAAACCTAATCAACTTGTATGTCAAAACAAAACATTGATTAAATAAAATAGTCTCCATTCTTATCGATGATGCTTTCCATCTTACAATCAGGTTGATAATGCCCTGATTAAAGAAATCACTTGGCCTTGAAGCAAAAAACATATCGATGTCCTTTTTAACACCTTCCATATTTGCATACGTTTTCCCATTAAGATGGTGTTGCGGCAAACAAAAAAAAGATGGTAATCTGATGGTGCCATATCTGGAAAATATGGTGGATGGGGGAGAACTTCCCAACCCAACTCCATAATCCTGTGTTGCATCAAAGGTGCCACATGTGGATTTGCATTGTCGTGGAGAAGAAGAACACCTTTCCGATTGACGAGTGAAGGGCATTTCTGATGAAG